TATTGATATATATATACTTGTTTATAGGTAGAGTAACTGGTTTACAGAGAAAAGTTTTATTTTGATTTTGAGATAAAGTATCTGCTTCTAGGGTTTGAAAAAGAGAATAGTTTACCTTTCACCAAAATGAAATGTTTTCTTCCTTGAATCTCTTACAAGCTGGTAATGTTGTGAAGCATGGTCGGTAACCGCACAGGCTCCAGAGGCCTGCCACCTACAAAGTGTGTCCTAAGGAACAAGACTGGGAATGTGAGAGTACTTTGAGGATTAAATGACTAAGCGTGCATTAATAAATTGTGGCAATTTTTAGTGTCATTGTTTTTTCATCTACGTTCTGGAAAATATAGAAAGTAGATACTATCTTTTAAAAACACAGTGAGTAGTTGATGAAGATTAAATATACCAGAATAGACTTTAATTTAGGAAACAAAGAAAAATCTGTCTTGGAACCACATTAGCCTCAGCAAGATTCCAACTCTGACCTTGAGGTTTATTTCATTCAATTAAAAATGTAGATATATGTGTGGGAGTGAGAACCTTTAAATGTATTCATTGGCTTTCCCTCTTAGATTTTTTTTCTCTATAGCTCTTATTTTAACCTCTTTCTTCAGCAGTTACCCTTCATGTTTATTCTGTTTTGCCTTCTGGGTGATTTTTTTTTTTTTTTTTTGTATAATCTCAGTGTATTAGGTCAGAGGGAAAACTCAGTGTGTAAGCTGACTGACAGTGTTGCATTTTCTTTGAGAATATTTACCACAGCATCCTAAGTAGTACTAAATTTTTCTTTCAGAACAGGTAACCAAGTATGTGAGTCATCACTGCATTGATTTCTGAATGTTACTATTTTGGAAATTTTCCAAAACTGAACAAAGCCCGAATCGTTGACCATTAAGGAACTGTATTGTAACAATAGACTTGAGGTCTCTTATGGGTGTACATTCTAATTGTTGGTTTTTTGTTTTTTGTTTTTTATTTTTTAAGGGGGCTGTTTGGGGCCTAGAAAACTGGAACTTCGTGTTCTCCTTGAGAGTTTGCCAGCTGGTTCCCAGCCAACCAGATAACTGCTTGTAGCGACATTCATTCCTGTAGGCCCTCTTGATCTTGTGCCAGCCCTGAGAGGGCAGTGCCGCTAAGCCTGCTCACACCATTCTGAACCGAGGGCACTGCTGTCCCGAATGCCTCAAAGTATACATAAAAATCTGAGACCACCTCAAGGGACTTACAGCTCAAGTTCTGATAAAACTCTGAGCGTAAAGAATATATTATTTTACTATTTAAGTTTTGTATTAGTATTTGAAACAGAAAACAGGAAGGCAAATATATAGTTCTGTTGCTCTGTATTCCTCAGTGTTTGGCCCATAAGTAAACCCAGCCTTAAGGAATCTAAACATGTACAGACAGTGGCCCTCTTCTAGTCTTACCAATGCCTCTTTGACCCTTCCTAAAAACACAAGATATTTTATTGTCTCCAACCCTGACCTCCTATCTGATAATTAATTATTTGGATTACATTGGTTCTCAAATACATCATGGCAACAGTTTATTTTGTCGCTTCAGATTTCTTTCTAGAGTTATCTCTGATTAATACCATTATTTTTCTTTGCAGCCAAGCTCAAAGTTTTACTTCTATAATCGAGTCTTTCTTTTTCTCCCTATATCTACAATGCTACTAATATCCACTCCTTTCCCAATCAGTAATATTTCCCTGCTTGAACATTTTATTTCCTCTGCCACCCTCTTGTTCAGACTTATCACTTTATATCTGAACTACTGCAATAAGCCAATATCTTGTATGTAATAATTTAGAACAGCTAAATCTTCTACTACTCCATAACTGTGAGAATGGCTTTTTTTAAAAAAAAGTCAGGCAATAACAAGTATTGGTGAGGATGAAGAAAAATTGGAACCCTCATACACTGCTGATGGGAATGTAAAATGACACAGCCATTCACTTTGCAGAACAATTTAGCAGTTCCTTGAAAGGGTAAGTATAGAATTATCATATGACTCAGCAATTCCACTCCCTAGAGAATTAAAAAGGTATGTCCACACAAAACTTACAAACAGTGAATGCCATGTTCAAAGCAGCATTATTCACAATAGTCTAAAGGTTGAAGCAATGCAACAGATGAATAGACAAACAAAATGTGGTATATACGTGTAATGGAATACTATTCAGCCTTTAAAAGGGAGGAAATTCTGCTGTGTGCTACAACATGGACAGATCTTGAAGACGTTAGGCTAAGTGAAATAAGCCAGTCACAAAAGGACAGATATTATGATTCTGCTTATATGAGGTACCTAGAATTGTCAGATTCATAGAGACTGAAAATAGAGTTGTATTTACCAGGGGCTTGGGAGAGGGGAGATTGGGGAGTTATTGATTAATGGGGATAGAGTTTGAGTTTGGGAAGATAAAAAATTTCTAAATATGGGTGGTGATGATGATTGCCCAACAATAAGACTGCTTAATGCATAGAGCTATACATTTAAAATATGGTTAAAATGCTAAATTTTTGTTGCATATATTTTACCACAATATAAAAAGAGTTGTAAATGAATGTTCATAGCAGCATTATTTATAATAGCTAAAAAGTAGAAATAACCCAAATGTCCATCCTGAATAAAGTATGATATATCTATACGGTGAAATATTACTTGGCCATAAAAAGGAATGAAGTACTGATTCACAATAAAACATATATGAACCTTGAAAACACTATGCTACGTGAAAGAAACCAGACAAAAAAAAGTCAAATTTTGCATGATTTCATTTATCTGAAATATCCAGAATGAGCAAATACAAAGAAATAAAAGGGTGATTAGCTGGAGGAGGGACGAATGAGGACTGACTCCAATTGGCTAATGGATTTATTTTGGGAGTGATTAAATTGTTCTGGAATTTGATAGTGACAATAACACAACTTTTGTGCAATGGCACAACTTTTTGGCTGAAACCCACAGAATTAAATACTTTAAAATAATTTTATGGAATGTGAATTATATCTCAATTTTTAAAAACCCTAAGTGTTAATATATAACTCTTGTAATGCTGTGTTCTAAAGAAATAGCATGTTCTCTGGTCTTGGCTTACTATTTCTAGCTGTGGAATTTTGAGAAAATTAAGTGACCTCCCTTCTTACTCGGTAAAGTAGGGATAACAATAACTACCTAACCAGATGTTTGTGTTAAATGAGATAACATATGTAATGCATTAAGCACAGTGTCTGGCATTTACTAAGAACCCAGTAAATTTACTAAGACCCCTTGGGACATGAGCATTCAACATCTCTCAATACTATTCCAGGTACTATTTCCAGATATTCTAGAAAATGACCCAACTTCTTTAGCCATTTATCACTAGTCTGTACATTCTAGCTCAAATCTGCCTCTCCAAATTCTTGTAATGCTCCCTTTACAGAAATCCGTCAGTCAGAATGGGCTGTTTAGTCTCCCTCAGTTTGCTGCACATATTCTAACAGCTATGTCTTTGAAAATGCTCTCTCCCTGTTCCTGTCTTTCTCTGACTTTCATCCTGCCCTTAGAACTCAGAAGACTTTCTTCATACATTCAGCTTTCTCCCTCATTTCAGTTCATGGTCATCTCTACTTTTGGAGCACCCAAGATTCTCACTACATCTTTGACTAATGAAGCCTTACTTTGGTTATATTTTTAAAAATATGTGTCTTATCATGGATGGAACTGGAGGGGATTATGCTAAGTGAAGTAAGTCAAGCAGAGAAAGATAATTATCATATGGTTTCACTCATACGTGGAACATAAAGAATAGTGCGGAGGACCACAGGGGAAGGGAGGGAAACTGAATGGGAAAAAATCAGAGAGGGAGAGAAACCATGAGAGACTCTGGACTCTGGGAACCAAACTGAGGGTCACAGAAGGGGGGGTGGGGGAATGGGGTAACCCAGTAACTGGGTGATGGGTATTACGGAGGGCATGTGTGGTGATGAGCGCTGGGTGTTATATGCAATTAATGAATCATTGAACAGTAATCAGCGTAAACTTCCAAAGCAAAGTCTAGGCATAGAAATGTGTTGTGGACCCATAGGAGATTTCAGGAGTAACGCAAATGAGAAATGGGAGATGGTTGTATCTTATTCTAATGTAATTTTTGAAAGTACTGACTGAGGCTGACCAAACTCTGCAGTCTGCTAGCGTATCAAATGTATTATCTGCCTTGTTCAGTTTGGTGGTTAAGAAGCATTTTCAAGTGGACCCATCTTAATTGCATGTATAGTGATTACTATACTAAGAAGGGTCAGCAGAATGGGAATTAAACAATAATAATAATAATTAAAAAGTATGTGTCTTGTTAGGTGATCAGATTAAAATTTGTATTCAATATCTTGAGCTAAATTAAAGTCCCTGAGCATGGGGACCACATGTTACAATGTTCTACCTTTACCATCGCATTTAGCACATTGCCTTGATAGAGTATATTCTGAATAAACATTTGCTATTTATAAGTTAAGTTAGTGCTGCATCTCAACAAGTACAAGGCCTTAAATTAATGATTCTCAATCCTGGCTGCACCCTAGAATTACTTGGGGAATAAGGCTTCATTTTTAGCCCAACAAATCAGAATCTCTGAGCATTAGCCCCCAGCTTCCCGCGCAGTTGATACTATTACAACCAAGGCTGAGAACCATTGGATTCAACAGATGAAGTAATATAACCCAGTGGGTCCCAAGACTAACTGATAATCACAGTCAAGATAGGATTGCTGATTAGGCAGAGATGCTTTGGGCATTGCAAAGTTTTCTCTACAAATGTTAGTATTATATTATGGTGCATTTGGGAGTTTTCATTGCTTTGAGAATGATCCTCCAACCCTGAATTTTTTAACAGCCAGTGGTCTAGTTGGACATATCAAATTATGGGCATCTATAACCTTTAAACTTTATATGATAGTTTTCATACCAGATGTACATCTTGTTCCTTTTTGCTAACTTAAAAATATTCAAACTCTGTGTCTTTTCCAGGCTAGCCAACATCATCATCAAACCCTCTCAAGATTGTCTACTTGCCCTTGCTCCTGTTGAGTTACCACACTTGGAAGCAGGAGATGGGCTCAGCAGCAGCCAAGAGGCCATGATCCAGGAGGAGCAGTAAGGGATAAAGCTGCTGGTAAGAATTTGGGTACAGTTGGTGCTTGGTTTCTGAGAAGTAGAAATTTATTCCTAATTTAACGGTCAATCTCTCTTCTAACTTTCAACTCGAAATTATTCTGTACTCTCTCAAATATCTTAATTATCTATGCTTAGGACACATGGATTAGATTTTAAGAGCTGTGAATGTCCTGGAGTTTTGTGCTAACCTGTATGGATGGATGGATTTGTATCTACATTGTTTTCTGGAGAAAAGGAACATTTTCATCAGATTCTCAAATGTCTTTGAATTTTTTTAAAAAAGATAAGAGCCATGCAAATATAACTGTAAGCATGGAAAAATGTGATATCTGTAACCACTTGTCACAGTATTTCTCCTCTCCATTATTACCTCACTTGTGGCCACTTTGTCTTATTTGTTGAGGACGGAAAAAAAAAGTGATTATTTGTGGTTATTTGCTGATCGGAAAAGTGAGCACCTCCTGAACCTAGGCAGCCAGTTTTCATGATAATTTGGCCCCATAGAACCATCAGAGAACTAAAGTATACAATGACCAATTTCAGGAAAGCCTATGTAATTTTTTCACATGATTTTTCTGAAAATATAAATAGAGGTACTGACAGGGAGATACCAAGTACTTTTTTCATCTACAGTTGATATTAATAAAGATCAATTTGTTCTGAATGCTCTTCACTGACAGGCTAATAAGTGTCCCAACCTAAGGGTTATTTATCAGACCATTAACATTTATATAGATGAACAGAAATGGGGAACTGGTAACTGATATTTTTTCCAAAATATTCAAGGTGGACACCAGAATGAATTCCATGTATACCTTTGCCCGTACTTTCAGTCAGTTAAAATTATGGGGGCATCGTTGGAAAGAAAATGGAGGTTACATTAAAAAAAGAAGAAGAATGAGTGTTGTTTTTTTTTCCTTCTGTAACTCTTAGCAGGTAGTTCAGCTTCAGTTTCACTGAATCTTGTTTATGCATTCAGCATAACAAATCTTCTAAAAGGCCCATGTAGCTGTAATCTCTGCCCTCACTCTAGATGCCCGAGGATATAAGTATCTACTCTGCCACTTGATACTTCTTAGAGACTGACCTGGTGCTGAGAAATCCTTCCCATTGTGTCCTCAATTAAACTCCCATGATTCCTAGATGTTGCCATTTTCCAGACATAAGGCAACTACGTCTGCCTAGATTACCTCTCTACCCTGGGAATTTTAAATCACTCTGTAAGGGAAAGAGAACTCAGCACTACTAACTCTCAGAATGAAAATTTTCCCCTTGCATGCTAATATTTTTAGAGTATTCATTGTCACTGAAAATAGACTTCCTCTTTCCCCTCTAAGGCTGGGCTGGAAAATCTTAGGTAATTATGAATAAAGCATTCTTTGCTTTTCCCCTCCTCCCGTAATGGATGCTTTACCTCTCACTGTGAGGACTGTGGCTACTCATTCTATATTTGACCTTTATATGAGAAATGAGATGCATTTTTAAAATGGAAGTTTTACAATAACATTAGAATTTTTCTCTTCTTGGAGATGAAGTGTAGGTAAGGAAGGAAGTGCAAAGTTTAGGGGAAAATGTAAGAGAAATTACTAAGAAAAGGAGAAATTAAAGTATTAGCTATTTGTGAGAGAGAGAGAGATTGATTTCACAAGTAACTCCCAGAGGAGTTCTTCCTTCATATCTGAAAAACAGTATTATTTTGTATTTAGCTTTTTACAGTTGGATAAGCTCAGCCTAGGAGATATTTAGAAATTTAGTGATAAACCTAGGACTTATTTTTAATAATATTTATTAGCTTTGTGTTCTTGGGGAAATTATTTAACCTCTTCAAGCCTTGTTTTATCTGGCAAGGAGAAAAATATGTCATAAATAACAATAATGGGATTATGTACATATATGGATATATGTACATGTATGGATCATATGTACAGGGCCTGGCACAATTAAATTCAAAATCATATTAGTATTTGTTTATTATTACTATTTTTACTATTATTAATGTTGCTTTCAGTTTTTAAATAATAAATGCAATCAAAGAGTATTTCCTGAGTTCCTATCAAGCACCAGGCGCTCTTTAAGAACCAGGGTGCATTACTGAGCAGAAAGATGAAAGTCCCTGTACTTGTTTGACTTAGAATCTAGAGTGGTGGACAGATATAAACAAGATAAATAAATAAAAATGTATAGTGCATTAAATATCAAGAAGTGCTAAGCATAAGAAATTTAAGACAGAAAAAGAAAATTGGGGGGATGGTGAGGTAGTAATTAAAGATGGAGTAGTCATGAAAGACCTCATGAGAAGATTAATTTTGAGTAAAAACCTAAAAAAAAGTATATAAATAGACCATAAAGTCATATGGGGAAGAACAGGTAGGGGAGAATACCACAAAGACCTAGAGTAGTAAAAAGTTTTCACAGAATGATCCAAACAGAATCAGAGGATCTCATACAGCTAAATCATCTACCATCTATAAATATGTACACATATACCCGAATAAGTGATACAGATAAGAACTTTGGGAGTTCAAGGAATAGCAAGGTCCCTCCAGACTAAAACAGTTAGAGGAGGACTTCGCAAAGGAAGGTGGCAGATGGTGGCCTGGATTTGAAGGATAGGAAGAAATTGCATAGTTGGCAAAAGAGTACAGACTTTCAGTTATAAGATGAATAAGGTCTGAGAATCAAATGTGTAACATGGTGTCTATAGTTGATAACACCATATTGTATAATGGAAACTTGCTAAGAGAGTGGAAGTGTTCTCACACGCACAAAGAGTGGTAAACATGTGAGTTATTAATATGTTCATTAACTTGATGGGGGGGAATCCTTTCATGATTTATATGTATAGCAAATCATCACCTTGTGCACTTTAAATATCTTACAGCTTTGTTGGTCAGTTGTACCTCAATAACACTGAAATCAAAGTTATTTTAGATTTCTAATTAAAGTTATTTTTGTATATCACAGTTCCATAGCCTTCACACTTTCAGCCATAAAAACAACAACAACAACAACAACAAAACAAACAGGGAATGACATCCTAATGGAGAAGTGGAAGAGAAACAGCATGAGATGGAGTGAAATAAGGATGTTGGAGTTGAGGGCAGGTGGGCGAGACAGAGGACGACGGGGGAGGCAAAGAGAGGCTACCTTGCATAGGGATGGCAAGTAGTGGGAGCGAAGATAGAAAAGAAGATGAGGCCAAATTTTGTAAAGCTCTTAGGCCAGGCTAAAGGTGATTACATGCCATCATACAAATACTGAGGAGCAGTGGAAGCAGGTGAGTAACCAGATGCATCCAGGTCATTAGCAATACTATTATTTTGACAAGTTTAGGAGAATATGGAGATGGAGGAAGTGGTTGAGTGATTCAGGAGTGAGGCTGAGAACATGGATTATGATATTAGAGGTAAGACTGAAAAAGGAAGGGCGCCTGGGTGGCTCAGTTGGTTAAGCGACTGCCTTCGGCTCAGGTCATGATCCTGGAGTCCCGGGATCGAGTCCCACATCGGGCTCCCTGCTCCGCAGGGAGTCTGCTTCTCCCTCTGACCCTCCCCCCTCTCGTGCTCTCTCTCTCTCATTCTCTCTCTCTCAAATAAATAAATAAAATCTTAAAAAAAAATTAAAAAAAAAAAGACTGAAAAAGGAAGATAGATTTGATAGGGAAAATCCTGAGGATTTGATCACTAATTGCAAATAGAGGATAAGAAGAATCAAAGTTTTCTCTTCAGGTTTTAAATGACCAATTAAGTGTTGGCATTAAAGGAAATAGAGAAGTAGGGGCATATTGTGAGTTTGAACTTACGGTGAAGGAGGTGAGACAGTCTAGGGTAGGTATCCTTAAGACTACTAAGGACAAAGTTCATGCAATGTTTGACAGGCTGAATTGAGTTGCTAAGAGAAATTTTTCACTGTGCATTGAAATCTAAATATTAACCTAGTACAAAAATTGTATAAGAATATGCGTATCAAAATGTTACATTTTGGGTGCCTGGGTAGCTCAGTTGGTTAAGCGACTGCCTTCGGCTCAGGTCATGATCCTGGAGTCCCGGGATCGAGTCCCACATCGGGGTCCCCGCTCAGCAGGGAGTCTGCTTCTCCCTCTGACCCTCTTCCCTCTCATACTCTCTGTCTCTCACTCTCTCCCTCTCAAATAAATAAATAAATTTATATAAAAAAAAAAAGTTACATTTTTACACCAGGGAATCATAAAAGTATTGCTCAAAAATGGGCCATTAGACATCACCTTGGTCCAATTGGCTAATTTTATGGCAGACTAAAGGGTACCCAGACATAATACATGACTTCCTAAAGGTCATGTCATTAGCTATTGGCAAAACCTGGACTAGCCCCTCAATAAGTGTCCTTATTGAGACCTATTACCTCTCTATGTCATGTGTAAGAAGTGTTAGTGATTTCTATTTTGCTGTCTTGTTTGTGGAGAAAAGAGTTAGAAGGTTTGGATTTGCCCATTAGAACTCTCTTGTAGCCATTCTAATTATTATGGATATTCTCACCCTTCCTCATGAAACAGACCTTACTCATTTACAAGCTTCACTCTTCTTGCCTTAGTCATTTTCTCCCACCTATGGTCATTGTTGATGTATCCTGATTAAAAAATAAGTCATCATTCTATTTCCTCAATAGTTTGAGACAGAACAGTTATTTCTAATGTTATTTTTTCTGTTTATCTTTTGGAAGAAAAATGGCTTTTCTTATCTCAAATTTAAATCACCATGTAGTCTTTAAAATGAAGACTCCAAATGTCCTTTCTTTGCAGACCAGCCTTATGAACTGAAGTCCATCATCATTATTCAAACAAACCCAATTGATTTATCCTTTGAGTCACAGAACTTTAAAACAAAAATAGATCCTAGAGATCATCTAAGGCAGTGCTCTTCAAACTATTACTCTCCAACCCATCTGTTACTAAATGTTTTCTTAAATGTAATTATCTAGCAATGTGCAGAAGTGTATTTAAA